ACCATGTGCATGTGCATGCGCTGCTAATTCATCTGCAACAGATTTGGGTCCATATAACAATGAATACTAAATCAGGGCCCACATTTTCAATAATTAAGAACTAAACGTCAAAACGACGTAACTTAACTGTAATTGACATATATCTGAATTCAATCCCCACCTTACATGTTGTATCAAAAATAATAATAATAATTAGGGACTAAATAATTGGTTGGTTATAATTTACCGTATGAAAATGGTGAGTTATGTTGTACGAGGATAAAAGCAGCAAAACTTGGTGTAATTATTTGACTTTCATTTTAACTCAACATATTGTAGTATACATTACAAGAACCAACATTTTCTTCTTTATTTATCAGCTAAGCTAATTGGAATACCAATCAGCCATGGGAAAAGCCAACCATTTTGCTTCTAATAGGATACCAAACCTCAATTATTAAATAGAAGTCGTTAACAATGCCCTCACTAACAGTCGCAGCCACTCCAATACTTCTATGTATACACTAAACAAAACCCATCACCATCTTGGAAAAATGCATTTCAATTCTCAGGAGGAAATCCATCCATTTTTGCCCGAAACTGGGGCGTCGCTCAGTGCCTTCACCTCCCTCTTCAGAAACGATGGCAGCGCAAATGCAGCCGAGTGCATCTGTTTGAATTCCAACCATTATTAACATCAACACCAAAAAATATTGGCACAGTTTAATCCATAAGGTGAATGGATGCATCTCTAACATCAACATCGTATTGGATTTGCCGATATGTTAATCTATAATGTGAACAGATGGATCTAATCTAAGAGAGTTTTCGTGTTGTTACCTCGGAGTTGTAGAATTTGAGTTCTCTTTTAGACTTGAGATGTTGTCCGACCAAGTTCTCAATGGGATTCACAGGGTTCCTGAAATCAACTGTTGGCCCTTCAGTTGAGCAGAGCAGAAACCCAATTACACCACTTGGATATGTTGGAACGCTAGTCCATGCATAATGGACATCCTTAAATGTTTCGCGACAAATCGATATCATATCCTGAATGAGATGTGTATGCAGCCACATACTCTCGGCCATGTTACAGAGAACGCCCCCGGATCTTAATGCTCGGGCTATCGTCTGAAAAAAGGGCATCTCCACTAGCTCCTGTGCAGGACCTACGTAATGAGAAACCCAGATCAGAAGATGAGTTCACAAGCACAAGTCTTCTGATTTTAAAGCTTAATTGGAATCGACTTGAAGATTTTATTTGTCAAAATTTCGTAGTGGATCCTCCTATATCATGCAATTCAACAACTTACCCACAGGATCAGATGAATCAACAATGATGGCATCATACTTCCCTTGCCTTGCATTCCGAAGAAATTCAACAGCTGATATCACAAAGATTATGGACACATTATACAGGAAAAGAGCACAAGAAACAAATAAGAAAAAAGTGTCTCAGATTTCAACCTACCATCACCAACATGAAGGTGGACGCGGGGGTCCTCAAATCCAACAGCTAATTGAGGGAAAAACTTCTTCGAAACCTTGTATACAAGAAAGCAAAGAAAGCAGTCTTTAAGTTATGGTCAAACTTGAAACATGCCACAGCAGCAAGTTATTTTGTTATGAACTTATGATGCAATTCAGCGACATGTTGACTAATGAACAGTTCTCTATGTACTTACATCAATGACCATCTTATCTATCTCACAAATGTCTATGTGCTCCACCGAGTCGTGCCGAGAAATTTCCCTCAGAACTCCCCCATCACCTCCGCCAACAACCAGAACCTAAATAGTGCAATTATATATCTCTTAAAATTGTGCCAATTTTGGATGAGAAAAAAAAAATCATAATAGAGCCAGAGTTGGCAGAGAACCAACAGTTTTTGGAGATGGGATTGAACAAAGAGGGAGATGCGCTATCATTTCTTGGTAGGCACATTCGTCTTTCTCTGTCAGTTGCACAATACCATCAAGAACAAGGACTTTCCCATATGATGCCGACTGTAAAAAAATTCAGATAAACAAAGAAAGGCATTGATCAACAAACCAAGCAAAAGATTTGCAGAGGGAAGGAAAAGCACCAGCTCTGAGGAATGCTATACCTCAAAAACCATAACCTCTTGGTACTCTGACTTTCCTTTAAACAGTATATTCTCTACTTGCAGAGCATGTGCTTCACCTGAAAGGTTACCATTAACTTCATCAGATTGTAAAATGAAGAAATTCGATGCATCACTTACATAACACAAATGCAATGAAATGTGCTTTAGCAAAGTTTCGATGTTGCAAAAAGTCATGAACTTATTTTATGAACATTCACTTCTTTTTCCAGAATAAAGAAGAAATTAACTACCTCAACATGAGACAGGGGACCATTAACAAGGAATATAAGAAAAGCACTCACCCGGCCACATTGGGTTGTTGAAGTAAACATTTTTGCTAGCTTTATCTGAAAAATCATGTACACATGGTAAGCGATGGTGTCTAAAATGTAGCTTCAAATGGAGATTAAAGAAAAGGGAGAATGACCAGAGCCAGACTGAAATTCTGAAAACCAGCCAGAAACAACAGTTGAATGGCATTGAGCCTCAAGCTCAGGGTCTGAAGTCTTAGCCTTCAAGCAACAAGAAGGAATGGCCCCATCTAAACCATTCCCATTAGTCGCCTTCCCATCCATAATCTTCTGGCATTCCAAACTTCTTCCTGCAACGTCCTCCATGTATTATCTTTTTCTCTTCTGTCTCCAGCCTCTGGAACATCAAGAATAACACATCAGAAAGATAGAGAAAGAAATTATGGGAACAAGAATTTTGTCCCTTAGTAACTCATGCTCGTCTACAGTGCTTAAGAATAGGTTGTACATCTCGAAACCATTTGTATCTTTACTGTCTCTAGATTCATGTTTACAGGGGAAGAAATTGAAAATATCCTATAGAACATATAGCATTGTACTAAACATCTTGGCTGTTAGACAAACAGTTACAAGTCACCAACTAATATTCCTTGTTAAACACTGTTAAGACACGACCAAATCTTCACCAAGAAACTCCAACAAACAAAGGTCGAATAACAGGGAAAATAATTGAGCTCTCCCAGTAACGTTTTGAGTTCTTCCAGATTTTAAATTTGCTTTACAAACGTGGCTTATGCTTCATTGCTAGGACCAGAGAATTCATCGATTTACATGAAAAGATGAACTGAGAAATAACAAGGGCAGAGCAGGAACTTTCACACAGCTAGATCAAGAGAATAAGCAAATAATATGCATTGAAATCCATCAGAATAGAGAGTTTCAGACCCTTGGGATAAAAAGAAAAAATCACGTGGAAGTCACGGGGAAAGGTACGTTCTCAGGAGTGGAATCAAGGGCACAAGTATGTTGGTACGTTATAGAAATAAAAATAGTACTATTTCCATAAGCTTGAAATCATTGTCAAAAACCTTCTACTGACCAGATTCTAGGTCCCAAGTAATAAGAAAAGTTTATTTTAAAATGAAGAAAAGTTCAGATTTCCCACTTTCTTTATCCGTTTCGCCATCATACCAGTTTATAAACAAATGTTTTTGAGTCAGTTGTTCAACAAGAAATGAAGAATATAAAACAGGTTGCCAAACCAGAAAGGGACAAAATAAGGTAACGTGTATCCCCATCGATCTCACAATTCACACACACCGACTAATAAAGGGGACCAAATCAAAATGTTTTTTTCTTTGTTTAGTTTCAGCTCCAAAAAGTGCCCAAATTTCCTCCTCCTGTTCTTTTCCCGAAAATCTGCAGGATTAAGAAATGACATGACAAACATAGAAAAAACCTGTGACTGACTATTCCGAGATCTCTCCGTCGAAAATGAAAAAACCCAAACATCACTAATCGAGGCTTTCACACTCCACCATAGAAACGTATGTACAGAAGATTAAGATTTAAGAGAGAGTAACAGTAGTACAGTAGAGAGAGAGAAAAAGAGAACGAATTAAAAACGAAAAATTGAAAGTTTACAGTGAAGGATCGTAGAATGACGGAGCGAGGTGGAAGAGAGAATCTGAGAACCCCCTGTGCCTGGACTGGACTGTGGTGAGAAATTTCGTTCCCTCTTGATGTGGAGCTTGGTTTGGTCGAAAATGGCGTTGGGTTATATATACAGATGATTGTGAGAGTGGGGATTTGAGTAGAGCAGAGATTGAACACTGAATTTGACCGCAATGTTATTTTAATCAGTGATTCTGTGCCCACAAAATCAAAATTGGGTTTTACAACTTTGGATGAGAAGAAGCGTTGAATGAAGTAAGAATTTGTAGTCTCAAATGGAAGTATGGAACCAACTTCTTTTTTCTTTTTTCTTCTTCGCTTTCGTTTTCTTTTTCGCTGCACAAACAAAACAAGCAGAGTCTTCGATACGAAACCTTTGTCTACAAATATATATATATATATATATATATATATATATATTATTTTATTCATTTTAATTAAACAATTTTTAATTAATCAGGAGCTTCGTGTTTCTTCTTCTTCTTCTTCTTTAATTGGAGTCAAGTCGTAATCTTGCACGTTAATAACGGTTTACGTTTTAGGATGAAAGTTTGGAAAATATAATCATTTTGAAGAGAATGACCTTAAGCTTTTTTTTTCTCTCTCCTAATGTTGAGGAGTAAACAAATTTATTGCACAGACGTTACATTATTACATCTCATTTAATGAAATTATTTTTTGCTAAGTCTCGTGTAAACATATGAAAATATGGATAGAAATTTAATATCGTAGTTCGATTTGGACTATTTTTTTTCTTTCATATTTTGATCTTACATGTAGTTTTTCTCCCTGCAAAAGAAAGAATATATAACATTGTTAATCATTGTCAAACTGAATATATATGGATTACGACTATATATGTTTAAAGTTGGAATTTTTAACTCTACATATTTTCGTCTATCCAACGAAAACAACATTAATCATGGTAAATCCTGAAAGACATAAGTTCAAACTAACAAAGAAATAAAAAAGATTAAAGAGAAAAATCAATAATGAAAGTGATTGAACCACGGGACCCACTGCAAATGAAGTCTTTAGGGTCTCTTTTACAACTTTGAAGAAAGCACTCCTGCCAATATAATAGTCATTACCAAAAATTTCCTCCAATATAATTATAATTTAAATATTATATCCATTTTATTTGATTTATTTTTATTAGTATACTTATAAAAGGTTCAACTTTTATTCCATTCATACTTTTAAAAAGTGATTATTTTGTAATTAAAATGAATAAAAATTAAAAATATAAAGACTAAAATATACTTTCTTTTTTTTTATACACAAATCAAAATTAGTAAAGTGACTTTCACTTATCATTATTTTTTTTCCATTAGAACGAGTAAAACTCAATAATAATTTGTAGCATGTTAGACAAATTTAGGAGATATTTATGCAGAGTATACAAATAGTTATACTCAAAAGAGAAGAATACAAATAATAAATTTGTCTTAAGTTTAGAGATTTTAAGAGGGAGCAATTTTTATTTTTTCTTGTGATATCTTAATATAAAACTAAAACAGTTACTCTTGTTTAAATTATGAACCATTATTATTCTAGACCTCATAATTAAGTTTGCTCGTGTCATATTAGAAATGTAATAATTATTTAGATTTAGCTTTCCAATATAGCTTTTGCTTTTTCCTTTGAATTCAAGTCACAAACGTTAGGTAAGACTCATTCAATATGTGTTTCCTTTCCACCCTCACACCAAATCTATGGTGATTTCGGTTCAATTATAAATTTGATCTTTAAATTATTTCTATTTGATCGGTGGATTTTAAAAAATGTTTAATAGATATATAAACTTTAAAAAATGTCTAATATGTTCTTAAACTTTCAACTTTGTATCTTATAGGTCCTAGACATTTTTTAAAAAAATCTGAAGACCTATTAGACAGGAAGTTAAATTTTGTATTAGAAGTCAAGGCTATTGACTTTTTAGCTTTATATCTAATAATTATAGTTTTCTGGATTTTAAAAATATCTAATAAGTCTAAGATTTAGAAACTTATTAAACATTCTTTTTAGTTTGGGAGCTATTAGACACATATTTGAAAGTTTACATGACTTGTTAGATAATTTCTAAAATTCAAGAATTCTATTTGACACAACTTTAAAAGTTCAAGGATTAAATTTATAATTTAATTGTAAGCCTTTTTTAATTATAAAAATCATTTGAATTAATAAATATGTAATTTATCATGATTTGGATGAGTTATATAACTTTATTATCAAAATTTATATTTATATTTGTGATATTTTCTACGCTTAGTTGACATTTTCATAATACATTCACAATATTGGTTAATACTGATATTAGATGTTTAAAATATATTATAACTTTAATTTTCATATATATCGAATAGGTTGGATGACACTTGATGTGATCTTTTTTTTTGCGCCCGTGTCACATCAGACTTTGTTTACACAACTAGACATCTTAGGCTATCTTATCGTGAGCAAGATGATTTCTAGTATCGTCTTAATTAAGTGATTTTCTTAGTCTCGCGTAGACTTCGTTATGCAATAATTTTTGGAAGGAATGAAGCTCCATTTTTGGTGCAAGAGAGAGTTTGTATTCCAAGTTGTAGAAATAATATGGCACATATAGAAAAGAGTGTAAAAAAAGCAAACATTAAATTCTAAGTTGGCAACTAAAACTAAAAAACTGAACTGACAAATTTTGGTTTGTTGTGTTGGATCATCAGTCAAGATTCAAGAATCAAATTCAAAGTATATGCCCCTCAAAATTGAACTCCCACCCCATCACTTACAAATTTTCCTTTCATTATTACAAACTCAACCACCCACAACCCAACACGTGTTCTTCTCCTTTTCCTTCTCTTTTGATGCTCCATTATTATTTTTTTTCCCTACATTTGGTAACCTCAATAATTGTACAATTTTATCCATTTTTTTTTTATTGACGTTGACGTGCTGTATGCTCGCATTTTCAACAGTACTTTTATTTAAGTTTCCACAATAAAAGAATATGATAATATTAAAGGTAAGCCTATATTTTCTCAAATTTAATGAATTTCGCCTATTTGAATCCTTCTCTGTTAGTTATTTCTATTATAATATAAAGAATATTTTGAACAATGAAGTGTTATAGCACTAATATGTAATTTAAAGGATGGAGAAGTACATTATATTTTAATTAGAAGACAAGATCAACCAAACCAAATACAATTGCAAACTGTTGATAGGTGGCATTGGCAAGCTCACAGAATTAAAGGTTTTTNAGAATTGATTTGAATTGACATAAAGAAGTTGGGATTTGATAATAATTTTGGGATGGACAATCCATTAAGTTGTTGGTTAAGGAGTCTTCTTCAACCAATAATTGTCCTCCATGGGGAATATTTTCATTATCTTTAAATAACTTTTACTTTTCCACCTTTTTTGTTCTTGGCCATCAATAATTTTGCAGTTAAATCAAATTGAATTTTATTAAACCACATTGGTAATTAAGAACGTCATGATGGGAAGGATTGATTTTTAAAAATTAATTAGTTTCACTTGACTGAGAAAATGGTTTCAGGGACATGTTTTTTCGTTTTATTTTTAAGTAACATTTGGTGACTAACTTTTTAATTGTGGAGAGACTAATCATTTTAGAGTATATGATAAAGTTTATTCCACGTAAATAAACACATAGATGAAAAAATAGATATCGAGAAAATAGATATCATTTGGTTTCAAGGAAACGTATCATAAATTTCAAGTTTCTCGCTTCTCTTTTTTAGGAAAGTTCCTAACAATTTATATACAAAATACAAATTATACAAACAACAAAATATAGTTTCTTATTTTTTTCGCACCCAACATTTAAAAAAATATTGATAAAAATATTATTTTATTACGGTTACTTATAAAATGCATACCAATATAAAAAGATTAAATATAACATGATAATTCTGAATATTTTATTCTAAAATTATCATTTTCATGTAAAAATTATTTTTTTTAATTTAAATTTTTAGAAAATAAAATATCAGAAAGGGTTACTTAAACATAAAAGAAAGAACGAGGATAATTCAAACTCACTTGTGTTTCTCTTTTCAAAAAGGAGAAAAAATTAGAGAGAAAAAAAAAAGTTACCAAAACGCTCCAACAATTCGCGTTTTTTCCCACTTCACTTATTATAAGCTGACCCTCATTGTATCAGCCTCATTCAATAATTTAAAGAATCGACCCACTTTATATCATGTCTACTTTAGACGGAGAGAAAAAACGGTGGAGGTGAGATAATTGAAATGGGTATTTTTGGATTCAGTAAGCATTTGAAATTTGTACAAATAGATTCCAATCATGAGAGGATAATATGAGCATTAAATTGAGTGTGTGCACATAGCCTTCATCTTGATTACATTAACTTTTTCAAATGTAACTTATGGTAATGAGGCTGACTGCTCTACTAGAATAGCAATGAAGACCGACATTCGATAGTACTCGGATCGAAAGCCATATGCATCAAGAAAACCGTTGTCTTACAGCGATTTCGGAATGTAGAAAAGGCACATCTTACACTCGATGTAAGATATAAATATACATTGAAGAACAAGTTATAGAGAAAATGAATTAGATGTTATTTCATCGTTGCTGTTACTTAATTCTACAGTCATTTTCAGCACGATTGTCATAGCAGAAGCATACCTCTATCCACAGTCAAAATGAATCCTCGCGAGCTTGCGGTAGAGTCGAGTTTGAAAAAGTCTACACGAAACTTGGATTCCGATGATGCTATGGATGGCAAGGCAGCATGCTGTGTTAAGTAGAGGAACTGTTCCGTTTCCTCAAATCTACTACTATAACACTGATGTTGTCCTTGCTTCCACGAGCCACCGCGAGCTCCGCCAAAACGGCTGCAGCTTCAGCAACATGGCTGTCGTTTGCCACCTTTAACGAAATCCTCTTCATTTTGCCTCCAAAACATCTCCTCACTACGTTGCAGGCAATCTCGTTCGATACAACATCCCACAGGCCATCGCTTCCGAGTATGAGGAACTCGTCGTTGTTCGTTCGCTTAGTCACTGTAACTTCTGGTTTGGAGATGACAAACGGTTTAAGATATTCATCACCTGCAACAAAACTCAGAAGACAATTCGAAAACCTTTATTTGTAGAGACATTCAGTAGTCTAAAACAAATAATAATTGATAACACAGTTTTGTTTCTATCTTTCTCAACCTATATATGAAAATTACATCATATCACAGATTGAGCTAGACAAGGACAAATCTTAAATTTGGAATAAACAGTAGGGAAGAATTGATCCCGATACCTGCTTAAAGCGATTACAATGGTGTTTCGTTTAACAGAAGTGAATCAAAATGAAATCATGGCTCTAGAACCAAATTACCGAAAAACAGATAGATTTTGATTGCATTAAAAAGTTTGGAACTTGCATGAAAGGGAATTTTGCCAACTATATGATAGAATCTTAATTCTCTTTCTGATAATCCATTCCCTCTGGTATCCATCCATTCTACCAAACATTACCTCAGAGATTCTCGACTTTGGAAAGCAATAAGGTAAAAGCAAAAGGGCTGGTCCACAGAACAATCATACTGATAACTGTTTGCATCGGCTTCATTCAGTGAAACCGATAGCCATGTATAGAAACTATCTTTGGGTTTTGTTTTCTATTGTTTTTTTGCTTGTTTTGTACATACCGATCGATCTCGAAGTGGCAAGAACTCCTAGCACCCGGTAGCCATTCCAGTTTATGACCCTTCCACCGGCAGATTCAATTCTCCTCAACTCATCAGCTCTGCCAGGCTACTCGTAATTTGGATTCATATAAGCTAAAAGTTGTACAATATCATTCAAATATTCAAATAGCTCTAAAACTAATCACACAACCAAAGAGTTTCAACTTCGTGAATATCAACATATTATAACTAGATGCATTGTCCAATGGCAGAATAGGAATCAAGAGTCTGAGAAAAGGCATCATCAAATCACACCCAATTATTCTAATAGTCATCACAAACAATGCTCTAAATTAACGCATTTTAAACCCATCAACCAAACAAGGAAATTCTTTTTACTATTTCTAACATTGCAATTACATTATTGTTATCTACTCATTCAAAAATTAATTAATTATCTACCCGAAAAATTCTAGTAATAATACTACTTCCCTTCGTTGTTATTCACGTTAACAATGTTTAAAAATGTTAACGTTTAAAAACGAAGTATAGTTAAAGCATTATAACTTCGTTCTAAAGTTTAGAGATTCAAATCATCGCCCCATTGTTGAACTGACAAAAAAATCGAAGATCTATCCAAGAAACTTGCTAGTGAATAGAGATAGTAGATATTGCGAAAATATATTTACAATTTTTCCTACACTAGCTTCAACTATAAATCCTGACCCATAATAAAATTGTGAAGGAAAAAGTTAACCAAGAAATAAAAAACATGATCAAAGTTAGGTCTGATCCATGATGGATTTTAAAGTTTTAATCCAAGAAGTTTATTGAATCGTTTGGTTTCCAATTCACTAACTAAACTAAATCTCCGTCGATAAGTTAAAACTTTGAGCTGATATACTGCAAATTATTGTCATTTTAAGATTAGAAGTTTAGAAGCCGATTAAAATAATAAAATAAGTTCCGAACGACGTCGTTAGAAGAACAAATTAGCAATTTGAAGTTCACCTTATGATCGTTAGACAAGGGCAAGGCAATACCGTCCCTAGCCAAGACGGCTCGACAATCCCCGCAATTCGCCACCACCATCTCCTCCTCTCCGATCACCGCCGTCACCACCGCCGACCCCACCGTCTTCATCACGGCGGCGCCGCTGCTCACTTCCTCATCCATTCTCTCGAAGCACCTCTCCATCAATCTCTCCCACTCCGCCCCATCCATCTCCCCCCGATCTACAATCTCCTCCGCCACTATCCGGTGCAACCGCTCACGGCACACCTGCGCCACCTGTGCCCCGCCGTGGCCGTCGTACACCGCGAAGAAATCGTACCTCGCATCATTAACCGCCGTCAATCCTAATTCAACTCTCACTTCATCTTCCATCTCTTTCCTCCGCCCTATAATCGACATCTCGCTGTACGGCCCGCAATCGGAACCGCTACTTTCAGAATCAGACGCCGACACAGCCATCGATTCCTTCCGAGCGACTAGATTATCATTCGATTCCGGAGCTCCATGCTCCTTTTCGCCTACATCGGCGGCGTGTATCTTCCTTTGCCAATTGTACCTGAGTTTACGAACTCTGAGCCGCCTCCGACGAGCATTCTTAGTTTTAATCATGGCGAAATCGCACATTCCGGCGGCCGGCCGCCGGAGCTCGGTCGGAGGAAGTTCCCGCTGCCGCTGCTGCTTGTTCAGTGAATGCATGAAAAGAAAGAGAAGAAAAAGGCCACAGGATTGGGGAATGAAGAGCGAGTGGAATGATGGTTATAAAGAGATTGAATATGGGCCGTTGGATTGGGGAGAGAGTTTCAGATGGAAGCCACCTGGGTGGCACGGACCACATCCCGTTGGATTTTAATAATAGAGACGTGGGCGGCTGAGATTAGAGGACAGAACACGTGGACGTCTGATCTCGCGGGAAGTGATTCTGGGTTTGGGAAAAGATACAGCGGAGGTGGGGCCCGGGATTACGTGGCTTCTCGTTATGGTAGAGGGGTCGTTTTCTATTGGCTGTGACGGAAACATTGACTAAAACTGACAGCCGAAGGGACACGCGTCGTCGGGTGATGGGAGAGCGCTGTCGGGTTTGGGCCTCGTGATTCGTATAGGGACGTTACGTGTCCAGAATCGAAACAGTGTTTTTGAAACCATTTGCACGCAACCTAATCAATACAAATACATTACCCAAAATATCAACAAACAAACAAAACAATAAAACCAGATATTTTTCTGCTTAATCTACAAATTCAGGTTGTTACATTTGTGTATACTTTAATTTCATACTTAAATAGTTTTAAAAGTTCCCATTTACTTTTTATAATTTCTAATTTATCTTAATCTAAATCTCATGTATTTTATTCATTTGAAAAGACTATTTCTTTTAATCTTTTACTGGACTCTAGACTTTAATACAATCAACTCACACAATGTGTTACATATTTATCGTAAAAGAAATTGTCAATATGATAATAATTTGGAATGTTTGACTAAACTATATAACCAAATCGAAATTAAATTCCAATCATCCTAACTAAATTCACACTACAATCCAAATCATAGGGACTTGAAACTATGTTGAGAATCATATGGACCAATTTTATAATTTATCCTATAATTCATTTGAGAAATTGGTTCTTAATTTTTGTTTTAGGGGCGATCATTTTCATATTACCTTTCTACATATTGAAAGGAATTGATTTTGATTAGTCAAGTTAAATTTGAATGGTTCAAAAATTTTCTCCTCCCCTTCGTCTTTGAGTTGAAGTAAGCATTGGGTACTTCATTTTGGCTTATTGTTATTAGGGAATCCAAATTTTATAAATTAAAATGGATGAGAGGGTGTCCATGGAGGGTCCGTTGTCCCTAATAATTACACTGTTTTGGTTTTGGGCCAATACTACACAACTACAAAGGAAAAGTAATCCTCGCCTTCGAAAAATTTTCACTAGTGGAGTTCAGGAAAACCAAAACACTTTAAGAAGAGTTGATCCTAACAATGGAGACAGTTCCCCGCCCAAATTAGGAACTTCGAGATGAGTAAAATACCTCAACTAATGAATTATGCGTTTTATATATATATATATATATATATATATATATATATATATATATATATATATAGTTAAGGGATTTATATATTCATATTACTAATATATTTTTAGCAAATGTAGACTATATAAATACTCCTAAATTCTTGGTCACTTAAGTTTATAGGGTTGATACCTAAGATTTGAGTGATTTTAAATCTCAACAAATTTCAAGTGAATTTCCTTATTTAATATCTCATAATTTTGAATGATTTGGAATCTCACCCAATTTCAAATTGTATTTTTACATGAAAAAAATCAAATCAAAATTGTCGAACTCTCTAAGCGAATTTAAAATTACAAAATTTAAAATTATTTTTTAAACAGACACTTCATAACTTTACTTTAAAATATTTTAAAAAAACATTGTTGAATATTTTACGAAATATTACATTAATGAGTCGTGGATCCCACCCAAAAAAAAAAAAAGCATCTTTAACGTATACCTAAAATCACGTTTCTGTCCTACTCCTAGATATGTAATTGGAATGAAAATATCTTAGATTCTTTTAAAATATTCACTAATATTTTAAACGTGTGTGCGAGAGAGAATACACGTGCTATTGTGTTGACAATCTATCAACCTCAATTGTCCTTTCCTACAATCATTTCATCTGAACAACCATTCTACCCAATCATTTCATCATGTCTAACCTTTAATTTAGGAAGATATATATCTAATTTGGACTCATCTTCAATCTTCATATATTAAAAAATAAATAAAGAAAACAGATCACAAATACAATAGGAGGAAAATCAAGCTCAAAAAACTTATATTAATTAATTTTACTCATCAACGTTACATTACAATCAATTACATTTAATTTGAAAATTATTAACAATCCGTTCTCCCTAAATTTCTGTTGGTGAGAATTTTAAGCTAGGGGACGGAGAAGGAGAATGCATACCTGATTTCGCAGCTCCAACTTTGACATCATCACCAGTACTCATTGCAGGAGCATCTTCCATCTTTAATATGATGAAACCGGTTTGCATCTCTAACAATGATCTCTCTGCCACTGGCCATTGAAATGTATTTGATTGCACTGTGACAGTCCCCACAGATTCGTAGGTTCTTGAATACTCTGATGGGTTTCGACTTGGATGTACTGCTGATAACACCAAAAGCTACTGCTATTTTCTCGCTGTGTTGAAACAAATATCTCACTTTTTGATCCTCCTCCACATCATGAAGCACAAAATCCGTATTCGGGACATATCCCAGTTTCTTTATCTTCAAACACAACCGCTGAAGTTCTTCATATATTTCCCCAGCTTTTGGGTGCGTAGTATCACCAACATAGAACTTGTGTACTTTATTTTCTATCTCTACCCAGCTACAACCTGCTTCTTTGTTCAAATTTCTCTCTTTCATGGCTTTTCTGATATTTGCTACTTCTTCCCATTGGGAGGTCGATGCATACAGATTTGATAGCAAGGTGTACGCCGCTGGATCATGTGGCTCTTGTTCGATAATCATTTTTGCAGCATGTTTCCCGAGTTCTAGGTTGCCATGAACTCGGCAGGCTCCAAGAAATGTTCGCCACACAAGGGCTTCAGCTTTGTAAGGCATTGAGTTGATAAACTGAATGACTTCAGAAAGAGATCCCGACCGACCCAGTATATCAACCATACAAGCATAATGTTCCATCCTCGGAACAACTCCATGATCCGCATACATTGATTTGAAGTGTTTCCAACCCTCATTAACCAAACCAACGTGGCTACAAGCTGATAAGACAGCAGTGTAGGTTACTTCATTTGGTCTTATACCAGCCCCGAGCATCTTGTCGAACAACTCCAAGGCTTTTGTTGCAAACCCATGTTTTGCGGAACCTGAGATAATGGAAGTCCAAGAGATGACATTTCTATCTTCCATGTCTTCAAAAACTTGGAAAGCAGCTTCAATGTTACCACACCTAGAATACATAGAGATTAAAGCATTGCAAACGGACTGATTCAAATTCAACCCTGACTTTATCACCCGAGCATGAATTTGCTCGCCCTTACCTATCATACCGATGCTGGCTGCTCCACTTAGAAGACTAGCAAATGTGAAAGCACTAGCTCCCATCCCTTGATCCTCGATCTCATTGAAAAGTTCAAAAGCTTCTTCAGAATTTAAATTCTTAGCATATGCATCAATTACCGTGTTATATGAAATCAAATTCTTCTCAAACAGAATATCAAATGCTTTCCTTGCATCATCAATTCTGCCAGATCGTGCATACATGCTAATAAGTGAGTTCGAAACACAATTAACCGATGCTAAGCCGAGCTTTACTGCATGAGTAAAGACCTGTTCGCCAATCCGTAGATTGTCTACATTTGCACACGCCTTGAGGGTGCTGGAAAACGTAAAATGATTTGGTAAAACATCTGTTAAGATCATCCTACGAAAAAGGTCCAAAGCTTCTTCATCATATCCTCCTTTTTGAACATATCCTGCGATCATTGTAGTCCAAGAAAAGACATTATGATCCAGAATCTGATCAAAAACCCGTCTTGATTCACACATTGATCCATCCACAGAGCATTTAGCATACATATTTATTAGACAACAACCAACACAACGATCCAGAGTCAACCCATGTCTTATGGCCTGAGAGTGCAACTGCTGCCCTAGCGATAATATTTCTAACTTCGTACAAGCTGATATTACACCACTTAATGTGAATCTATCAGGCTCATATCCACTTAATATCATATCCAAAAACAAATTAATTGCTTCTCCTGTGTACCCAAATTGCATATACCWAGTAATCATCAGAGTCCAAGTAACTGCATTTCTTTCAGGCATTTTCTCAAACACCTTAAAAGCTGAAACCAAATCGCCACGGCCCTTTACATACATATCAATTAAAGCACACCCCACACATACATCAGAGGCAAAATACCCACTTTTAATGATAAACCCAAAAATAGAGTCACCCACCGATGAATATTCGGCCCTCGAACCCGCGCGGATTGCCGCCGTAAAGCAGTACTCATTCGGGTAATAACCATTTTCGAGCATTTCAAGAAATGTAAGAAGCGCTTCAAACTCCATATTGTTATTCGCGAAGCAAGATGCCATCGCACTCCACGAAATCAAATCCTTCTCATTTCCCATCCCGTCAAAAATGGACTTCGCTTTCTCCCACTGCCCGCTCTTGGAGTACAAGCTAATTAAGGAATTAAGAGTCACAGAGTCGAGCTGGAGGTGCGACTGAGTGAGTTTTTCATGAACGAGTCTACCAAGAGCAAAACTACGAGTTCGAATACATGTTTTAAGGAGAAGCGAATAGGTTTGGAGATCAGGGTGGGATCCTTGCTGCAGCATAAGTTGGAGAGTTGAGATTGCTTTACGAAGGTGGCCATCGTTGAGTTGGCGAATCAAACGATCAGTAAGGGGATTGGGGGTTGAAAATCTGGGGAAATGGACAGAGGGATTTGAAGTTGTTGAAAAAGAATGGAAAGAGAAGTTGAGTGGAGAGGGGAGAGGCAAACTCTGCATCTTCACCTCGTAACCGAATTAACGGCTTTGATGATTTTTTCGCGCCTTCGTTGGGAGGAGGAGTCCTCAAGACTGGAGTGCACCCTGCAGCTGCCTTTTAAATGGATAAGATTTTCAAATTTCAATGGTTGAAGCCTCAAGACTTCCCAACTATTTATGAAATAAATAATGTTTAATGTAATTTCAATTTAACTATTGACTTTTGAGATGGTAATATATGCCTTCATTCACCAAACTATGTGTGGATTCACGCTATAAATTTGCCAATACAAATCTTTATAGCTTAAAAACTACTACGTCAACTGTTTATTTTTTAAGTTTAAATTATGCCCCACAAAATTTATACTCTAAATATAATATAAAGATTCAATGAGAGACAACAATAAATATTTACATAAAATATAGGAAAGAAAACAAAAATACAAAGACCCAACCTAGTTAAATAAGAATAGGAGTCAAACCAAAGCAAATTGGTGAATATTCTCCCACCAAAAAAAAAGGGTACAAATTTGGTATTTGGAAGTGAGGTGGCAGAAGATTGATGCTGCTAAGGAGGAATGGACGGCAGAGATTCAAAGGGGGACTTCCTACAGACAGGGCAGGAAGCATTCAATCGGAGCCATTCCTCAATACAATGTTGATGGAAGCAATGTTGGCAATTGGGTATGCTCTTCAGTATCTCTTTGGGCCGATATTGGGACAAGCAGATTGGGCAGATGTTGTTATTGGGCTCTGGTAGGCGTAGGCTTTGGCCCAACACAAAATTTGGGTAGGAATCGATAGTGGGCCCATCGAGGCCCATTGTAGTTGTGGGCTGAGAAGAAACGGTCCAGTGAGTTTCGGGGCTAGAATTGCGTGGCCTTGACCTCAGTCTGGCACAAAGGCAACACAAGAGGATCAAAAAGCACAACACAGCGGCCACCACACCCACCGCCATAGACAAAGCACTACTAGAATTTGAGGGGGTCGCAGCTTGTGGGATGTTTGTGCACTGAATTTCGTGGCGTGAGCTTGAATTGGGTTTCAACTCACATCCTCCGCCAAGTGACTCGCAGCTTCCGCAGGCAGGATTTTCCCACCTTAACAGCAGATCGTCCCACAGCTTCGGCCAAAACGACCACGAAACTGGCACCGAAACTGTTTTTATCACAACACAGTTCGATGACAGAATGTCTATAGTCGCCGGAGAAGATGATGCGAAGACTGCGTGGGAAGAGCTGCCCAGGCAGTAAATCGGATCAATGAGCCAAGATGGCGAGTAGTCCGCCGAGCAATTGAAGAATGTAAAATCTTGGCTGTTTTTGGCGACAAACGGCGACCCAGAAAGATTGAGCGACAGAATCTTTCCTGCCAGACAATTGTTTGGATCGTTGATCCATATTTCTTGGTTTCGGTAATCTATGTATTTGACACTGAAATCCCCGGAAGGAGGGAGATGAAGTAGTGGTTGATCTTGACCTGTGGGATGGGCCTGGCAGGATAAATCAAAGCCAGGATACCCACATGATTTCGGCTGGCGATTTTCAATCCTAAAGGGGAATCGAATCGTCTGATAATCGCCACCACAGCGAGACTCGAAGCAGAATCCAGAGCTGGTTGCAGGGTTGAAGAAACAGCACAAGAGGAGGCAACAGCGGAGGAGAAAATGAATCATTTCTTCAAGGGAAATGTTGATAGGTAGGAGGGCATTGAACAGTTCCTGTATATTTTATTGCAAAGGAAAAACCAGTTTCCACGCTCAAAATAACGAGTTGCTAAAACCAAATGGCATTAAACTGAGCTCAAAATCAAAATATTACAGAGCCAATAACCTCCACACATGATGTAATCTTGGCACAGTGACAAACAAACAAGCAGGAAGAAGTCCAAAGTAATTCTTAAAACCAAGTCGTGTCAATGTGGAGAAAGAGTTGAGTTTGTTTGTCGGAAGATCGAGTTTTTAGCAACCTCATTCAAAGCAGGCTATTGGTGAATCAATCTGACGTGGACAATAAAGTCTAAATGGTTGACCAAGGGATGTGAAATTGGTGGTAAAGCTAGAGGGAAGTCCATCCTTTTGTTGTTCCCCTGTATATGGTGGGTTATTTGAGATGGATCTATAGCAGCAGGTCAACTCTAAATGGAGACACAGAACGTATATTAATTAGAACTTATCCTTGACCCAAATTAATTAATATGCAAAGCACTCATACTTTCAGTTTCAATATGTAACATATTTTGATGACATTTGAGGAATAATAACCAAATCGATAGAGAAATGTCCCAATTTCATATTCTATATGTAGATCAATGAAAAATTCATAGAAACAGGTAGCTTGTAGCAGCAGAAAACAGTTTAAAATACAAGAGAAGAATCGGCAATGAACCATAACAAATGTGACACAGTAGACGTCATTATCTTGAAAAGTCCAAACATTGACGGTTAGATCCCACCCCAATTACTGAATAACTTACGAAAGCCTAAAGTGGGCTTTATCTAGATTAAGTTTAACACGGAACATGTTAATGTTGTAGTGAGAACAAATATCCCAAGTCCATAAATTTCTGGTGAAATTCTCAGTCCTATCTGCAATCCTTTCTTGGTGAGAATTTTTCAACATGAAGGTTATTATAGGGGGATAAAGAAGCCATACCTGATTTCGCCACGCCCTTTTCGCGGCGCCTTTTAGGTACCAATATTAATGACAGCAGCATCTTCCATTGTCTATATGATGATGAAGCCAGCTCCAACTTTAACACCATCACCAGTAGTCATTGCAAGAGCATCTTCCATCTTTAATATGATGAAACCGGTTTGCATCTCTAACCAACAATCTCTGTGGCCGTGGCCATTGAAGTGTACTTAGATGCAGAGTAACAGTCTGGCAGTCCCCATAAATTCTTGGGTTCTTGAAAGCTCTGATGGGTTTAAACTTGGATGTGCTGATCAGACCAAAAGCTACTGCTATTTTCTCACTGTGCTGAAACAAATATGTAGACAACAACCAACACAACAATCCAGAGTCAACCCATCGCATATGGCTTGAGAATGCAACTGCTGCTCTAGCGATAGGATAGTATTCTAATCTGTCTGGCTCTTTTCCATTCAATATCATATCCAAAAACAAATTAACTGCTTCTTCCGGGTTGCCAAATTTCATAAACCAAGTAACCATCAGAGTCCAAGTAATTGCGATTCTTCCAGGCATTTTCTCAAACACCTTAAAAGCTGAAACCAAGTCGCCGCGGTCCTTTGCAAACATGTCAATTAAAGCACACCCAACACATACATTAGAGGCAAAGAACCCACTTTTAATGGTAAACCCAAAAATAGAGTCACTCACCGATGCATATTTGGCACTCGAACACACGCGAAATGTTGAAAAAAAGAAAGATATGAAAGAATTGCTTCAACCCCATATAATTGTTGGCAAAGAAACATACCATCACACTCCATGAAACAAAATCCCTATGAAGGTGACGATCGTCGAGTTGGGGAATCAAACGATCGCTGAAAGGGGTTAGGGGTTGAAAATCTGGGGAATTGGAGAGAAGAGGAGGGATTTGAAAGCGTTGAAGAAGAAGGAAAGAAAGTTTGAGAGGAGCGGGAAGAAGCACTTCAACTCCTAACGGAAGTAACGATTCGGTTTTTTCGCGCCTTTGTTTGGAGGAGGAGGCGAATGAAGGAGAAGCCATCCAAAGCCAAAGCAAAAGCAAAAAATTTGGATTTGTTAAGCAAATACCCTAATTTTAAATTAAAAACATTGTCAAATTTGTGGTTTTATGTGTTAATTATGTATTTGTTAACTGATTAGGAGTTGGTTGAATTAGTGTTAATCGAAGGTGAGATGTACACTCTCAAATTTGTCATTTAATGAAGCATTTTTTTGGTATGTTGTACTTGACGTAAATACAATACAAAATTTACATTAAATACAGCATATAGAATTTAGTGACGAAGAATAAACAAGTATCTACACAAAGTTCAACCGACAAAATAAAGTATTTAAAAACGAAAAAGCTAAAACTAAAATGTACATAAAAGTTCAAATACCACAATTTATAAAATAGGAATCAAGCTAATGCTAATTTTTTTTGCCATCATTACCTTTTCTTTTTAATCTGAATTTTAGTTTTAGGATATCATTTTCAACCCAAAAGAAGAAGAAAAAATGTACAAATTTTAATTTGAAAGGGATAATTTAATTAGTTAAGATATATATTTTCGACAAAAAGATAGTAACTACTGAAATTTTTTTTTTTATAAAAAAAAAAAGAAAATAGTACTTGAGAGCAAATGTGGCATGAAATTGGTGGTGGTATTGATATTATTACGGAGGATCGGAGAGAGATTTGATGGGAGGTTTCCTGCAGAAAGGGCAGGAGGCATTCAATCGCAGCCATTCATCAATACAATCTTGATGGAAGCAATGTTGGCAGTCGGGTATGGTCTTCACGATCTCTTTGGGCCGATATTCGGACAGGCAAATTGGGCAGATGCTGCCATTGGGCTCCGGTAGTCGTAGGCTTTGGCCCAATACAAATTTTGGGTAGGAATCTATGGTCGGCCCATCTAGGCCCATCGTAGTTGTGGGCTGAGAAGATATGACCCAATGGGCTTCAATGCTGGAACTGCGTGCTCTGGGCCTGGAGTAGTATCTCAGTCGGGCACAAAAGCAACATAAGAGGCCCAAAAAGCACAACCCTGCTGGCACTCCCACCCCTATAGCCACAGCATAACGAGCACCTCTCGGTAACCCTAACATAACAGTAATCAAAAAGCTTTCTTACTCATCTTATATTATAATTAATAATTTCCATAACTCAATTTACTACCAAATTAAAATGATAAATCAGCAATTAGGATATATATGTCCAAAAAAGGTTATTTGGTATCTACCTTTTAGTCTCTCTTTTGATTTCACCAATACCCACCGAGTACGTCTAAATTTTATATATAATACGTAGTAAAAAATAAATTTGTTTTGAGCAATTTGAAATTAGTGTTCAATAGGTCATTATCTAAAAATAAAAGGTATCATATAACTCGTATATTTTGATGTTGGAGAGTGTTATGTTTACCTTTTACAATTAGTTAAGATATTTATTTACTGTTAAAAAATTATGAGTTTTAATACCTTGTTCAAGAAAGTTCTGAAGTCAATCAAAGCACAATTCAGCCAAGAATTAAGGTACATGTATCCAACTAGAAGGTTGAGATTTAAGTGTTCGTAGTTCCGGTTCTAGATGTTGTACCTAGAAAAGAAGAGAAGAAGAGAAGTTTGAAACTTACTTTGTTTGGGTTGAGGTTGAGTAATGGGTGTGCATTGGATTTGATTGCTTGAATTGGGGTTGGGCTCACATCGTCCACCACGTGACTCACAGCTTCCACAAGCAGGCTTTTTCCACGCCAATTGGAGATCGTCCCTCAGGTCCGACGAGAACGACCATGAAACCGGCACCGAAACGCTTTTCATCACGACGCAATTCGACGACAAATCGTTTATAATCATCGGAGACGACGAAGCGAAGACTGCGTACGAGAGGCCACTCAGGCACGAAATCGGATTCAAGTTCAACCCATACGGCAACCGAACCTTCGCCGAGCAGTTGAAGAAAGTAAAATCTTGAGTGTACTTTCCGGCGAACGGCGACCCAGAAAGATTGAGCGACAGAATTTTTCCGGGAAGACAGCCGTTTGGGTCATTGACCCATATTTCTTGGTTCTGGTAATCTATGAATTGGACGCTGAAATTCCCAGAAGGAGGAAGATGAAGGCGTGGTTGGGCCGTGGCGTGGCAGGACAAGTCGAAACCAGGATACCCACATGAACTGGGCTGCCTGTTTTCAATCCTGAAGGGAAATCGAATGGTCTGATCATCGCCTTGGCAGCGGGTGTCGAAGCACAATCCAGAGCTGCTTATTGCAGGGATGAAGAAACAGAGCAAGAGGAGACAAAGAATCAGCATTTCTTATGCATTGCAACACTTGGTAATGGATTAAATGTTGGGTATTCTCTTTAATTAAGTCAGAAATTTGTATCCACACGAAACAAATGAAATTGGTGGGCATTAAAGTAAGGTAAAAAGTCAAAATGAAAGTATGAAATGGAAAGAAGCTCAGCTCCACATATGAATATGATGTAATCTCTTTTAGTAGTTAGTTTAGTTAGGACTAGGAGAGGACAATGAGAAGCAAACAACAAGGAAGAGTTCAAAACAACTTATAAAAACTGCAGACAAAGAGTTGGGTTGTGGAGGGTTTAGTTTAGCCGTCTGATTAACAATTTAGGGGTCATGGGTGAATCAATCCGACGCTTAGGATTAAAGTCTTAACGGTTGAGTGGGGACCTGATCAAAGTGTGAGCTAAGCTAAGCTAAGCAGCAGGTCAACTCAAACATATATTAATCAGAAACTGATCCTTTTGGCCAATTTAATAAATATGCAAAGAGCTCGTAATTTCAATTTGTAACATATTTTAATGACATTTGAGCAATAATGTAGCCAGATTGATAGAGAAATTTTCCATTTTCATATTACACATCAATGAAAATGTTATTGTAAACAAGTAACAAATAAAATATAAAAAAAAGGATTCAATCATCTAAAAATTTGATATAGTAATTGTTGTAATCCCGATGATATGGACTGCCAATCCATGGGTTTAATTATGAGTCGCTATTGGTTGTTTGAGAATATGGTAGTGAACCAGAGTTTGAACAAAAGATAAGGCTACAATGTAAATATGATTAGATTCGTCAAATTCCCAGAGTTGTTAAAAATATGCAAAGATCTCAAGAGATGTAACAACAACCAAGAAAGAACATCATTCATATTTCATTTCAACTGCAGGAATAATATTTTAAGTTACCAACCGCCCAATAACAATAATCAAAAGATACAGCCAACTGTACATTATTCATTTTATGACTTGACTGACAAACAGAGCCAACTATCTAAAACTTGAAGAAAAGGGGATTCAAAACGCTATCAACATGATACAGACAAAATGAAACACCAGAGAGTAGTACAAAATATCACAGCCCTAAAAAATATTATTAACCATCTCTTTACCCTTTCCCTTATAAAATATTAGCCAACGCCAGCCTCATATGCTGCACTGCACGCCTTTCTTGGGTGCTCCTCTGAAATTGGCTTTTTATTGGGTAGAAATATCAAATCCTCGGCCAAAAGTATCATCAAATTTTCCTCTCCATTATTGGGAAGTTTGGACAAAAGCTGCATTCGCCTAAGTCATTACTGTGTGTCTGCTGCTACTAGTACTATCTTGTTGCCTGTTATTGTAATCTTGGGACCTGTTGCCCACACCTTCATACCCTCCTTCACCTACAAGAATGTTCTTTTCTTCCTTTGAAAAATACTTGTCAACCTGAGCAGCTGCTTGCCGTCCTTCATTGATGGCCCAAACCACAAGGGACTGCCCCCGACGGCAGTCTCCTGCTGCAAAGATTCCGTCTACATTAGTCGAGAAGCGCCCATACTCAGCCTTGAAGTTTGACCGATTATCTTTCTCAACACCCAGCTTCTCTGCTACTGTCTGTAAAATGCAAAGAAACAAGAGCATATGTTGAGGTGATCTCAAACAAACAGTATCTGTGTTTAACTTCTTATCTTCTATTCTATACCCTTTATTAACAATATGTCATATCCAACCGGTGAAAGTTATGAATAAAAACCACTAACCGATTCAGGGCCGAGGAACCCCATCGCCAATAAAACAAGATCAGCCTCTATTATTTCCTCGCTGCCCTCAACCTCCTTAAACTGGAACCTCCCGTTAGCATCCTTCTCCCATTGAACACGTACTAATTCAAGTCCTTTAACTGCCCCATTTTCATCTCCAATAAACCGCTTAGTCAAAACCTCATATGATCTTGGGTCTTTGCCGAATTTTGCAGCTGCTTCCTGGTGTCCATAATCAACTCGGAATATTCTAGGCCACTGAAATCCAAATAAATGATAAATGTAAATATGTTACCCATTTACTACATTAAAAAAAAAAAACTCTCATTCAAACCAGAGTAATGTAACAGCGTATAGCCACTGCCTGCTTTCAAAGCAGAGACAAAAGGTCCACAGCATTCATAAATTAGATTTCAACCAACGCAAAATAGAAGGTTACAGGAAAAAGATGGCAAACCTGTGGCCAAGGGTTTCCTGGAGCCCTGGTCTGTGGTGGCTGAGGAAGAAGCTCAAGATTTACGACGTTACTGCAACCATGTCTTATAGAGGTTCCTATGCAATCTGTTCCAGTGTCACCACCGCCAATGACAACTACCTTTTTGTCCTTTGCAGATATGTAGTTACCATCTTCGAGATTGCTATCAAGCAAGCTCTTTGTGTTTGAGTGAAGGAATTCCATGGCAAAATGAACTCCAGCAAGTTCCCGTCCAGGTACAGGAAGGTCCCTGAAACAAATATTACTCCACATATTTTCAAGGATTCTTAAATATGATTGAACTGCATCCAAAATCCTTGGATGGTAAATCGAAGAGATTTACCTTGGTTTTGTGGCACCAACAGCCAAAACAAGTGCATCATTTTCATCTCGAAGACGATCAAGAGTATAAGATGGATCAGTTCCAATATTGGCATTAACGACAAAATTTACGCCTTCCTCTGCCATAAGGTTAACACGCCGCTGAACTACATCCACTTTGTCAGTTTTCATATTTGGAACTCCATACATCATAAGTCCTCCAATTCTATCAGCTCGTTCATACACAGTCACCGCGTGACCCATTTTATTTAGCTGGTCTGCGGCAGCCAAGCCTGCTGGTCCACTTCCAACAATAGCCACTCTTTTCCTGCATTCATGAATAAAGTCCATGAACAATTGAACTAAACGATCAAACAAAGTGACCGTTTTACTGAGTCCTAATAATTTTATATTACTACTAGAAAAGAATAAAATGTCCCGTTCACATACCAATAAAGAATAAAATGAATTCGATATAAGCTGACAACAAATAAAAAAGAAAGAAAAAAGAAAAAAGGCATACCCAGATCTCGTAAGGGGAGGTCGTGGAACCATCCACCCTTCTTCAAAAGCCTTGTCTATGATGGCACATTCAATATTTTTGATGGACACGGGATTCTCAATAATGCCCAGAACACAAGATCCTTCGCAAGGTGCTGGGCAGACCCGGCCAGTAAACTCTGGGAAGTTGTTTGTTTCAAGGAGCCGCTCCAGGGCTTCACGCCACCTATTCTGATAAACTAACTCGTTGAATTCAGGAATTTTGTTACCAAGAGGGCATCCAGAGTTCTCCTGAAATTATTATAAACAAAAACGACAATTCAGAAAAAAAAAAAAAATTGATGATTACTTGTAAAATTAGATTGACAGTAAAAAAATGGGCGGTAATCATTATCACCTGATGGCAAAATGGGGTACCACAATCCATACATCGAGCTGACTGAGTCTTTAACAGCGGCCCAGGTTTTGATTCTTCCATAACCTCCTTCCAGTCACCCATTCGAACATTAGGATCCCTGTACTTCACTCCCTCACGCTCGTAAGCAATAAAACCCCGATGTTTAACAGCATCAGGTATCTCAGTAGGTCTCTTTGGTGGTTCAGTCTCTTCGACCTTCAAATCCAAATTCAAGTCAGACCAATACAGTCCAAGGAGATCATAGTGTAACATCAATCAAGATAAAATACCACCCAAAAATGAGAACAAGTGAAAAATGGCCAACTAAATTTAACGAGTGAACTAGTCTATAGGAAAGAGGGTAACACGATCAATTTATATCTCAAAAGGATTCAAGGAAACCAATTGGAGAGCATAAAAATATATAACTATAGTGCGTGGCATTAAGGCTGAATAGTGCAACTCCTGATCCTCTCCCACTGGAGTTTTAAGTAAAGGTAACCCAGTGTAAAATTGATGTGAAGATGAAAGAAAGGTGTCGACAGAAAGGGATCATTGTCGGAAGCTAGAATTATTATTCCCAAAATGGAACCCTAAAGTTACCTGTTTGGAATTCCCATTCAAGGAGGCAGCAGCCATTTTCTTCAGCTCCTCAAATGCATCCTTTTCAATTAACTCTGCCTCATCCGACTCTTCCTCAGCCTCTTTAGCAGCTGGTTCTGAAGCTTCTTTGGCGGCTTCTTGAGCTTTCATGTTTGCAAGAACACGCTTATATTCCCTTGGGAAAACCTTGATAAATCTAGGCAATAGGTTCTCGAAGTTTTCGAGGACTTCTTTGGCTAAATTGCTTGATGTGTGACGCTGATGCTGCTGTATCATCATTTTCAGAGTCAAAATATCATCCTCTTCTTCAACTTTATCGAGATCCACAAGCTCTAGGTTGCATCGGGATTCAAATTTTCCGTCTATGTCAAGAACATAAGCAACACCTCCACTCATACCAGCAGCAAAATTTCTTCCGGTACTCCCAAGAACAACAACGGTGCCACCAGTCATGTATTCACATCCATGATCACCAACACCCTCCACAACAGCCTTTGCCCCTGAATTACGTACACAAAACCTTTCTGCTGCCATCCCATTGAAATAGGCCTCACCACTTGTAGCACCATAAAGAGCCACATTACCAATGATTATGTTCTCTTTAGGATCAAATAAACTCCCCTTTGGAGGGTAAACAACAATTTTACCGCCTGATAATCCTTTACCAACATAGTCATTGCTGTCACCCTCCAGCTCCAGCATTATGCCAGGGCAGAGGAATGCTCCAAGACTCTGCCCAGCACTTCCAGTGAATTTAATATGAATAGTTTCCAAAGGAAGCCCAGCCATATGGTAACGTTTGGTTACCTCATGGCTAAGCATTGTTCCAACAGCACGGTTTACATTGTTAATTGGTGTTTCAATGTACACAGGAAGACTCTTCTCTATGGCAGACTTTGAAAGTGCAATCAGTTTTTGATCCAAAGCCATGTCCAGACCGTGATCCTGTTTCTGCACGCAGAATTGGGCAGCTTCAGGTCGTAGGTCAGCAGCAGGTCTAAGCAACAGAGAGAGATCAATATTCTCTAGCTTCTCATTTTGCCAAGCAACTTCTTTATCAACCTCTAATAAATCAGAACGACCAACCATCTGATTAACTGTTCGAACTCCAAGCTGGGACATGATCTCCCTCATTTCCTCAGCTACCATAAAGAAAAAGTTGATGACATGTTCAGGTTCTCCTGCAAACTTCTCTCGAAGAACAGGATCTTGAGTAGCAATTCCAACAGGACATGTATTCTTGTGGCACTTCCGCATCATAATGCAGCCCATTGTAATAAGGGGGGCAGTGCTGAAGCCAAATTCTTCTGCACCAAGCAAAGCAGCTATAGCCACATCCCTTCCAGTTTTTAATTGACCATCTGTCTGAAGCACTGTACGACCA